GGCTCCAGTGGCGGCTGCACCGCCAAGCTCCGGGGCCTAACGGTACAGCATCAGATTGGAATCAGGCGGTGGCCAGTAGCCCGTCCAGTTGCCTTCAATTCCCGCACCTGGAAGATAGATACCATCTACGACCAGTCTGACGAAGTACCGCAAAACCCGTAGGTGCGACCGCGCAACCAACCAGCTTTGGCGTCAGCTGACTGCATTACAGGAAATATTACATACTTGTAGATATTGGGGCAAGCGTCAGATGTGACGAGCTAAGCTTACTTGCAACTATTGTGCAAAAGACTGTTCTAGACAGCACAGTTGGCTATTTAGTATTAAGCTCCTTCATTCGTCATAGCTTGATTGTGTTATGGAACATCTGTATCACGTTTGTGTCACTTAAACTGACTGTGCAAAGTTGCCAATGTGGTGAACGGGCTGAGTTCCTTGTAATTCTCCAGCTTATTGAGAGGTATGCCAATTCGGTGCGGTGTTTCCACAACTCATACACCGTTATATGCGCGTGTTTTGGCCCTTTCCGGCGGTTTTCTTGCATATCAGCTAGTGATTTCATATCGGTTACGTGCATTCTCAGGCTCAGCTGTGGTGCCTTTGTTAAGTTATTCAATTATCAGTCTTATTTCTGTCTTAACTCGCACCGCTGTCCGACTTCCTCCTGTATTATGTAGAAAAAAGGCGATTGGTGTTCGGAACTTGCACTGGGCGCATACCATTGATAGAGGACCAAACGAAGTTCAATGGTGTCATAAATCGTGCTGAGGTATGTCCGGCACGAATAATTCGACGACATATATCACTCCCTATTTGTAACAGCCCTATTTTGAGACAGAGTTGAACATTTGCGTGGGGTTTTAAGCTGAAATAGCCATTTGCAAGATAATTTGGTCCAGTGCACTGTCCTGACCTTCCTAAGACCCAAAGCAAGCAAGTTTCTGAACTGCACGCCCGCAAAGATGTGCATACCATTTCCAGGTCATGCAGGCATGCATGACGCCATGGCGACGTCATTCAAATCATGTCACACCATCGCCCATGCGCCGTCCAAGGCCAGGAAGTATATTATCATTGAGCCGTTCAGATCTAGCACTCGCGAGTACGATTCCCAAATACTCTGGGCGTCAATTGGCTCTCCATCAATACTAAACAAGCTGTGCAAGTTTAGCCACAAATCGCGTTTTGCGCTACAAAACAAAAAAAGCTGGAGATGATTGCAGTTTGTTACGGAAATAAGACCTGTAATCGAAAGACTTGAGAAAAGCGCCATAATCGAACATTTTAATACAAACCACTTCTTAAACTTATGAAAAAACATGCAAGAAAACCATGTGAGAGTGCTAAAACATGAGCACACCACAATATCTGGCTGAGTGAACACCTTCAGCACCGTGCTGCAATCTCACGATAAGTTTGAAGTACTATAAGTGAGCGCAAACGTGGCACGTTCGCACGGATAGTTTGGCAGCACCTCAACACCATGCTAACGTTCCATGACGCCATCAAACGATGACGTATTGATTACCAATTTTAGTAGAGAAATTGTGTTGTCTACAGCAACCTTTTCCGCTTAGAAGTATGCCAATAGCTATAAGTGAGATTATTTCATCAGATATCATGCTTGCTTTAATATCTACAAATGTGGGACATTCCATTTAAAGCACTTTTTGCGCCTGACAGAATACCAAAAGTGGAAGTGAGCTCATTCCATCATATCTGATGCTTGCCTCAATATCTTCAAATGTGGAATACGTTCATCAAAAAGACATGCTTTTCCCCAGTTCAGCGAGTTTCGGCTTTGCCATTACAGTGTCCCAACCTTAACCAGACTCACGAGCATTATTGCGAAATGTAACAAAGGTATAGAGGAGTCATTGCTGACCGATGTTCTGCAGGCCATTTGCCACCTGGCAATCAACAAGCGAGGCAGAATCTCAGTGGATGCAAAAACCGGCGTGGATTGAGACGCTGCAATTATATCATGCCTATAGCAAACTAAAAATGCTCCAATTTATAAGCATGGCACCATCCTGTTGTCAAACGGAAAAATACGGCGAGCCTTCACATACCCGGCACGTGTTCTCGGTCTCGAGAGGCTATCGCCTGGCGCTACAACCGACTGTTTTCAAACGATGAATCTTAGTCCGTCAACACCCACGCGGCACTGGTTCTCCCTGTGACCCTGGCGTTCAAACGGCTGGGGAAGGGGAGGGGCAGAAGTGGAGGCGAAGTGGGCTGGGGGAGGGGTGGCATTGGCGAGATCAACGAGAGCCTTCAACGGCGGAGCCGTATAATTATTAGCTGGCGATCACAGGTGTGCTGTCACCCGATGTCACGTGTCACCGTCTGGCTCCCGACGCAGCAAACGTCCGAAGCCACATGACATGTGGGACAATGGAGTCGGCCGCCCGCCCGCCCAACCGCAGCGACGTCGAGGACACGCCCCACAAAAACGCCTCGCACGTGACCTGCAGAGGTTTTTAGGAGCGCACCGTGCGATACGGGGACCTTCGCTCTGTTTACACGAAAAACGGCGTGAAAGGGTCGCAACCATTAATTTGAGGGCGACTGCCGGCCCCCGCTGCACATCGGCGCCGTCCGGTGTATGCCGCATTAGTTTAGTTTGACCATCAACGGGATGCGATGCTAGTCACGGTTGTCGGTCGGGGGCAATCCCAACAATTTCAGACATGTATGGCTTCCTCTAAAGCTCTGTTGTTGCATTATATCGAACGATTTCCTTGCTGACTGCTATGGCCTGACTTTGAGCTGCCAAAGATCAGTGAACTTACAAGGTACACCTATTTCTAACATAAAAAGATCTGCTATTCAACTCTCTACAGCTATGCCAAGTTTTACGTGGCTAGGCCGTATCCTTAGGAAATCTGTCTAGAAAATTTGGGAGATCAATTTACCCCCCCCCCCCCAACCGAGTGTTTAAGAAGGACCAGGCTGTAAACTGCACCGAATGATCTTCAAGCTAGCTATTTCAGTTAAAAAACATACAAATGTGGAACACTCCTTTTAATGGAGCATGACAAACAAAGCATAGCGAGGCATTGCAATCTATGGTATTTTGTACGGCCTTTTGCACGGTGTACGGTACGGGCAATGCCTATGGCTGAAATGAACTGTTTCCTTTTATTCATGCACCTTATTCTCAACGGTTGGTTATTTGCAGCCGTTGCCATCCTTGTTTACTTACTCTAAGAGTATACATGGAACAATTCGTGTTGCACAAGAGGTCAGGTCCAAACGCATCTGTGGAAAACTGTCCAACTCTCAAAGTGCGTTTTGTCAATATTGTAGCGCACAACTGGCCTTGCGTCTTGAGTGTTCCGGCACTTTGACATGTAGTATACAACCGCAACGTCTATCTGCTTCGACACGTTATGCCGGTGCTGACAGCCTCTTTGGCCTACCCAGTCACTACAGACCTGTATACCTGAGGAAATGAAACACGTCTTACACATTTGCTTACCTCGTATCTAGGCGATATTTCAGTAGGGTAAATGGAAAAGTAAAAAGAAAACAGAATAGTCACACAGCTGCTGAAGGCGCCAACGCCCAGACGCACTGTTCCTGCAGCCACTGGTTGGCAAAACGCGTCATGTGCTTTTCACAACGCAGTAATGACTCAGAGCCCCGCTGCGTGACAAAATGGCCACGACACCCCTCAAGCCAGTCCTCTCTAAGATGGCGATTTTTGCCACCCAACACGCACTCCACCTGAGTCCAATGAGCCCGAATTAATCCTCCGCAAGTCCTCTCGTATCAGACGGAAAATGAATCCGTCAGGGGACGAGCGCTGCACGTTAACCACCCCCAGCGACCATTTCTGCGCAGAATAAATCACGCGTCATGCATGCGGGCCTCGTTCGTCTGGCAGGCCGCTGCATAATGATGGCGAAATGACGAGTGGTGCGCTCAGAAAAACGGACCGGCGATTTTCACCCGGGCCGCCTCGCCGTCTCGCCGCCCCGATGTTTTGACACGATGACGGACGCGGTCGACCGGAGGCGGAAGAACCGCAGCCGTCGGATGCCGGCCGGCGGTGCGCCGGCCCGCCCAGCCCGCAGCCGCCGTGCTGTTTGACTTGCGATATGTTTTCAGACGGCTGCTTAATGAAAAACGCCGCCGAAACTCGGCCGTGTCTACGACGGGACCGAGGCCGCGGCCGCCCATCCAGTGCTGGGCAGGCTGTGCCAGCCGGCGCGTAATGGCACGTGATTAGTACACGGCGCCGCCCCGCGGCGACCGCACCCCGAGGGTGACACGGCACCGGCTGCGTCGATATGTCATCGGCTCAGTCGGTGGGCAGCCGACTTGTGGCGCACTGCAGTCGCTGCCGCCGCCGACGACGACGACCAGCTCACCGCAATACGCCGGCGGTAATGAGAGCGCATCTGAGCGGGAGGGTTGGCCAGCGATCAGCCGAGGCCACCCGGCGGGTGGCCCCGGCCGCCAGCGAGCACGTTCTGGCACGCGGCTTAGCACCCTGCCGATCCGCCGCCCGCACACGGCACTTTGCTAGACCAGGCGGACGTCGTGCCGACGCGCTCGGGGACACAGGCCATTGGGACTCGCCGGAGCCCGCCGTAACTTCTACGTCTGTTTTAATGGAGCGGCACATCGATCTCCTGAGTGGAGAACAACGGACAGCGACGGCGTTCGCGGTGCATGAGCCGGCGCACCAGGCTGCAGAATTAAATGTCGGGGAAGGCAATCTGCACGGTGTTCAGTGCCGCTCACCGGGGCAGTGTGATCATTTGGAGGATAGCAGAAAATTGACAACGTTCTTGTGGGCGGTTGGCTTCCCCCGCGGCCCCTGATTTGTTCTCCTTCCCTTCCCGCAACTCGCTCTTACGGGTCGCGACAAAGCGACCGCCAGCACCGCCCAGCGTCAATCGCCGCCGCCGCAGCTACAGTCCAGCCCACATCACGACGGCGTCCACCACCGGCGAACGGGGCGAGCAGCCCGCGACGTCAGCGCTCACCGGGAAGTGACGTCACGAGCAGGAGCAGCAGGCTGGCGAGCGGTAGCCGGTCTGGCGTTGGCCTCATGTCGGCTGAAACAGGGCACGCCAGTCAGCGGCCGCCTGTCGCTCAGCCGCCTCCCCCTCCGCCGGCGGCTGGCTCCGCCTCACTCCAAATGTCAGCCCTGTTTTTGCAGCTGCAGCTGCCGCTGCCGCTGACCGCGCCGTGCACAATGCGGATTCGGCTGTCGTGCAGCGATAGACATAGCGGCGAAGGGAGGGGGAGCGGAAGACGGACGGCTGCGGCCAGTGTGACAAAAACCGACAACAGAGGGTGGGGGAGGGATTTTTGGCTTAAACGCTTTTAGGGTAAACGTAAGCTAACTGCCTGCTTGTGATCGTCGCGGTCACATTAGGAGGATTCAGTGAGTGCTAATTTGGTAACTTTGGACCACTAAGTGATCAATAAAGGTTTCGCATACTGCACGAAAGTTGAGCGATCATCATGGTCCTTATTCTAGATGACTGTTCACAGATATTTTCCGGAATGGTGACGAGTGACATGTTAAAACTTTGGTAAGAATCCATCGATCCTTGGCAGTTACAATGTTGTTTTTCACGTAATGCTTACACGTGGCTGCAACGTACTCAATCGGTATCCTAATAACTTGATAGAAAACTACATGCAGGCTGTTCCCATCTAAAGAATCTCGTCCATTTTGTTATTTACAGTGTATTCGGAATCACATAAAATAAAGCCTGAGTGACTTTTAACCCACGACCGCACCCAGTGGCGTCACCACAAGCTGCCTTTCAACGACAGCGTTCGAATCGCCAGTTTCTGAAAGGTTTTTTATGGGTGTCTTGACTCGGTGTAATTACGGCGACAAACTGCACTCTATAAACGTCTTGAGTATATATTCAACATTTGATTAACGACATTTTACAACAAATCACTACCAATTTGTGCACGCTGCACTTATTTTTAGAAATTTGAACGTCACACAAGATCATTCGGTTGATTGGCCTCCAGCAATCGTTGACTTCTACCTATCCCCTAAGCACCTTTTCACTTATTCTGACAAGCACCGCCTTTTACATTTATTTGAAGCTTAACCTTCCATAAGAACGCGATAAAATGTGAGCACTAGCACCTGTAAGCCATTTGCCACGAAAACTAGTATGACTTTGGGAAAAAACTAGCCCGACTGGGAAGATGGCCGATGGAAGTGTGGGCTCGTGCAAGGCCTTGATCAGACAGTGGCTGTTCGGAGCCGAGACGTGCCGACAGCTCGCCCGTTTGGCCCGACCGTAAACCGTTAACGAAGGCGTCGACTGGCAAAGCGCTTGTAGCAAGTTTGGGAATGATCTCTCCTAAATAAAGTCACGGCGGCAGTCAGACATGGCCGAGGCGGACCGACCCGCTCGGTTGTCTTGTTTAAACATGCAGCCAGTGGGCAAATGCTGTTCTACTCCACGTGGTAATCGGCCTCATGTTGGAGTCCGGGATCTAGACGTGGTTCTAACGAAGATCAATTGGCTCTAACTAAACTATAACAAATGGGAAATTAAAGTCGTGTACAACTGTCGGCATAACAGCAAGGTTGGCGAAATACGCAGGTTCTGTTTTCACGTCATCTGCAAGGTTGAGTTTTCCATTGGTTGCAATCCTCCCCGCAGTGATTCGTTTTCCTGAGCAAAAACGTGGCTTCAGTTGTGTTCTCGTCTCTCTACAGCTGAAAGACTGAAAGAAGTGCAGAAGGAGGGAAGGCCGTACAATCCCTTTCAGCTACATTGAGCCTTATGGCAGTTTGAGTAAAATTGCGGGGCAACAAAACAATCATTTTGTATTCGCAGTTGCTAGCTCGCACTCTTCTCACCACGTCCTTTCTAACTGCAGATAAGCGTTCCCTGCCATGCGATGCTTTTATGGCGCTCGTCAGAAGTTCACGTTCACCCACCGCCGCGATTTAACACGGCGTGTACCGCGTGCTGCCTTAATAAACGCCGCTGCTAGCTCTTGCGCTGCAGTCTGTGGGTCCTGCCGCTGAGCCTGCGCTGCAGTCTGTGGGTTCCGCCGTTGAGCCTGCGCTGCAGTCTGTGGGTCCTGCCGCTGAGCCTGCGCTGCAGTCTGTGGGTCCTGCCGCTGAGCCTGCGCTGCAGTCTGCGGGTCCTGCTGCTGAGCCTGCGCTGCAGTCTGCGGGTCCTGCCGCTGAGCCTGCGCTGCAGTCTGCGGGTCCTGCCGTTGAGCCTGCGCTGCAGTCTGTGGGTCCCGCCGTTGAGCCTGCGCTGCAGTCTGTGGGTCCTGCCGCTGAGCCTGCGCCGCAGTCTGTGGGTCCTGCCGCTGAGCCTGTCATTTGGCGCAATCTCGGAGCCGTCCCATGTCGGTCCCTCAATGTTACCCGGCGCTGCATTGTCTCATCTCTGCGGCACTCACTTGCCTCGGCTCTAGTTAGTCGGCACGTTAACCAGCAGGGCCTTAGTGCCAGTGCGGGTAATGGGCCGACAAAGCCCGCTGGGGGGGGGGGGGGGGCTGTCTGCGGGGTCATCCGAACCGGAACCTGGAAGTCTTGGAATATCTCTGGACCACCTCAGTAGTTCCGAGGTTACAGACATTATAGACACGGCATTGCACATCCGGCTGAAGACTACAGAATGGACCTCACATCGATTAGTCACAGCAGGGGAACACGCGCTCATATCCGTCGGGACGGCTCTAAAAGCTAAAAGAATGCTTACTAAATGGTATTTCAAGGAAAGAAAATCGCATATTGCGCATTGCAAAATGAACTGTTTGTGTTCGTTGCTATGCGTGGTCCACCAAATTTGCAATGGTATATTTTGTAATCCACATGAATGGGTGCCTTATGCGACATCAACGGTCCACGCACAGCCAGACAACAGGTACACTTTAACCAAAATTTGTCGATTGCGTATTCTGTGTTATTGACTCGGTATCCCATATCTACTTCGTTTCATAAACGATGACCGCCTCCGTGCTAATTTTACCTCTGCTGTCTCACGGTTTGATTTTTGTAAAGGACAGTTGAATACGAATCAAAAGATTCGCTAACCAAAACAGTAGTAAAAGCCTTCTCGCTCGGAAAAAATAAGAGAATGGAGATATCGGTGCGTTGTTATTTCGGCATCATGCCTTCATTGAAACGGAAGCACGACAGAAGCACAGAATTACAAGCCCTAAATTATTTGCCAACTTCGCCAAGGAAATCTCAAGGTGAGCTCTTTCACGTGACCTATGGCAGGCACGTAAAATATCATATTTTGGTAGCTTCGGGCGCTCCAGCATCCAAAGTAACGATGGTGTAGAGAAAGCATGATTCACAACATACAACACAAAATGCAACATAAAAATGGATGCGAACTGGCACACAAAATGACATGCATTTCGAACATGAGCCGTTGTCCGCAACGACCGCATCATGATGATGTTACTACCCAATACACAGAAGCCAAATATCGCGCCCGTAGCTTAGTCATGCAACTGGGGTTCTGCAGTGGCCGGCTGATAATTGCCGCAATGTTTGTTGGCGGCCGGCGGCGGCTGACAAACGGTTTCATTACGAGAAGGACGACTGCAGAGCAGCGGGGGCAGTGTCGCCCGGTCGACGCTGGACGGGCCGTCCCCGGACGGCTCCCCCGGACGGGCCGAATTTACGAGACGCTGAGTGGCGCCGGCCGCCGGCCCCGGACCGGCGCCGCGCGTCGTCGCCGACGACTCTCCCGGCACCCGCCGGACGGAGCGGAAACGCCGGCGGTTCCCCGCCGTGTGTATGCGTGTGTGTGATTACAGCGCGAGGCGGTCGGGGTGAGCGAACCGGGACGTGCGGGACGGCTGGCGCCGCATTGAGCGTGGCTGAGAATATGAAGCGTAGGTCTTGTCCGGCCATTGCACACTGAGAGCATTAAAACGTCTGGCAAATATGGTTGCTGTTGAATTACAGTTTACTTTTAACACATTTTCCTACTGACCCCATTCTCGCACGGTTACCATGACCTGCATTTTTGTGTGGAGCGCATTCAGTCGCGCCCAACTCTGAGCGGGCAGAAGAGTTGCCTTACGGATGCTCTCAGGTAAAGTTTCGTAAAAAAACGACTAGAAAAGTAGAGTACGCGCCAAAAAAGAGAGGAAGTATTCTGCATTCCAAAGCATAGGACAAGAGCAATAGATATGCGTGCTCGTCTTGCTGCGTATTCGATTAAAACACATACTTTGTAGTGTTAAATGGAAAAGGAACACTCAATATACCTTTCACCTCACCCATCTCCACATGTTTCTCCATTCAGCCAGTCACGCGGGCCTGTTCCCACAACGCAATGAGAGATATCAGCTATATGCTCCTGAGGGCCTTGGTCCATCACTATTTAAGTCCGCACCAACGATTGCGAGCCTCATCCAAACACAAACAAAAAAATCCAAAAAAGGCAGGTTACGTATTTGGCTGTGATGCGCTGAGTGCGGCTGGCGCATTCTGACATTTAGCGGTGAACTTATATTAGACTACGCATACTTCTAGATCACTTCACGGAGTGAATTTCAAGGATCGAGTTCGGTTCAATCCGACTAGTCCAACCAATCCACCCACTAATCCATTTTTTCATTAGTTCTCAATCCAATCCGGTACGATCCGAATTGCCAGAAAACAACAATCACATGAATCCGTATTAATCGCCACCACAGGAAGGATTACAAAAAATAGACAACAGCAACTTAGGTTCATTTGAGTACCTTCACCTTCAGTTATGTATTCACTTCCATTGAAAAATTGTGGAATAAGCTGTCATTAACCAATAAATGCTCAGATCCTTAACCCAACATAGACCGGGCAATTCACCAGCACACCATTGACCGGAGAGGGAAAATTCCCCCCCCCCCCCCTCCTCTGCTCATTTCAAAAACAGCCAGGCCGCATTCAAAAATTCAAGTCGCAATCTACCGCACCGTGGTGTGCAACCTCAGACCACACAATAAACTTGAGTTTAATTATTTATTAAGGTGACAAGCCAAGGTCAAATTTTAATATAGATTAGGTTAGGTTAGGTTAGCTTAGGTTAGGTTTGGTTAGGTTAGGTTAGGTTAGGTTTGGTTAGGTTAGGTT